TTATCTTGGGAGCGTCGAGTCGGCGTAGGAAGAAGCAGAATCCGAGGAGATCGCACCATCGAGCCGATCTCTCGAGTTCTGGCCAACCCTTTCCGTTTGCTCATTTTCCGGATACCTCGTCCAACGAACCGAGGCTCTCCGTCGTGCCGCCACGGTGACAATAATTCCCAGTAGCGCGTGGCAATAATCGTAAAAGCGATCTCAGCCCCATCACCGGGTCCGTCCCGTCTATCCGCTCTTCGACGACCCCGCGTTTGGGATACGAGCCGAATCGATTACCGCCTCGATTTATTTTTACGATGTTGAGTCGCCGCGACGCGAGCCGACGTCCCCCGTCGTTGGACCCCCCGCAGGAGTATTGGCTATCGGTCGGGATGATCTTTATATGCACGCGCCGGTGGAGTTTATTGGGGCGGCGACGTCGCGGGTCTTAAGGACTCGGTGCTCTCGTTAAACCGTACGCGCCGTTAAACTCCCGTCACCCATTACATCCTCGCGTTAGCCCGCTTCACTGCGCTTTTAATGGATTCTCGCGCGATCGCGAGTCCGGCTTTGTCCTCCTTGGGCGAGGAGAAAAGGGACGTCGGGGCTGCCCTCGACTTTTCGGATGTTCCCCACTCTGCGTCGCCAGGGCTGCTTCCGAGTTAGGTACGATGACTCGAATTAAGGTTACTCGATGAATGGAGGTCCCTGGCTCGGATGAGATGAACCTGATCAATGGAGGGGAAGCGATTCGGGTCGGGTGATGAAAGCGACATCAGGGGGTGCTGATGACCAAATGATGACAGTGTGGTCACCGTTTGATGATCTCGTTGCAAGATGAATCCTTGAATTTTAATGAGGTTTTAAGTCCAGGTACAGATCCTGAAAAGAAATGATTTCGCGTAACTTGACTCGAATTGAATGAACCTGGTCACTGGAAGGGAAGCTATTCACGTCGTGTGATGAAAGCGACATCAGGGGGTGCTGATGGCCAGGTGACTGCGTGGTCACCATTTAATGATCTCGTTGCAAAGAGATGAAGTCTCGAATTTCAATGGGGTTTTTAGTCAAGATGCAAATCCTGAAAAGAAATTATTTTGCGCAACGAAGGGAAGTGATTAGAGTCGTATGATAAAAGCGAGATCTGGGGGTGCCAAGTGACCAAGTGATGATCATGCGATGACCGTATGGTGATCATGTCATGATCTCGCAGCAGGGAGGTGAAGTCTGGAAATTTAATGGGATTTTCAGTCTAGGTCTACATCTTGAAGGGAAATAATTTTAGGTAACTCGACACTAGCTTGCATCCTTTCGCCCCCGCTCATCGGGCGCATCCAACGCGGCGCGTTACAACCCTCGAGACGACTCTGCCAACGTAATTATCGACGAGTACACTTTCCACCCCCTGGGTCCCAGGCTTAAGTCGAACACGCCATAACAGCATTATGAATTCCGCATCTCACGTTTGCCAACAGACGAACGTGCCCGAATGCTCCGACCGCCGCGCGACTTCTGCAGCGGTCCAGGTACCCTGGTGATACAAAGACCACGATTTGCATGCAAATCCTGTTATCCCGCTATGCCGTGAACGTAGCGAGCTACGTGTGTGTTTTAAAATTAGCGTCGGCAAACGAGAGGGCTCCTTCCGGGGTCCCAGAATTTCCTGAAGTCGTCCTTCGGGAGACGTTCTGGAAGAAACAATTCGATAAGAGGATTGGCCGTGTCGGAGTGACGAGGAGAAAACGGCTTCGAGGGAGATCAATCACGTCCCTTTTCAGCGATATGACAGTGGAATATGTAGACGTCTGTTGGAGGACGATCCAGCCGACGTCCTCGTCAACGTCCAGAAAGGGCAACAAAACCGATGGCGCGTCCCTTATAACCGCGATCAACGAGAAACTCCTTCAACGGAACTCTGGAAGATTGAAAAAGCAATTTTCTTAAAAAAAAACCTGCACCTCCATCCTTGCGCAAATAAATGGCCCACGCACAATAGCCTGCTCCAGCTCTCTCCTCTTTAGTTTCACGTTGTAACCGGAGATTCCAGCTAGTGGTCAGATTTCGTTGCCTAACGATTGCGCGGAAACGCAACCGATATGGTTTTGGGTTTCGGAATTACACGGCGGCCCGACGAAGAAGAATAATATTCGGTATATTGTACCGCGGAATAAAGACGACCTCTGTTAATATACCCGGAATGAGGATCGGCTTTCACGAGGAACCTGCACGAGGACGTCCCATGAAGGGGTCGCTTCCGCGTGACCTGCGGAAGTTCTCCAAATTTTTATTCGATACCTCCACCGGCCGACATTGACGAAGACCTCGAGAGACGAACGGTAACGATCGTTAGCGCGAAGGGAGGACATTTCGACAGACCCTCGACCGCCATTGGGACAATCGGGGGTGGCTGATTGCCTTCGTCTAACGCTCGTCGATGTCGCCGGTGGAACCTTCTATGAACCATCGCGAGTGCCCCTCCACGGCTCAAGAAAATGAAAAATTTAGGAAGGACCATTTAGCTACCTTTTCGCTCCTCGAGGTCTCTCCAAGAGAACGGAAGTTCCAAGAAGAAACTTCCCCTTGACGCGGGGAATGCCTTCGGGAGATTTTCAGGCAACTCATTGCCGTTTTACGTTTCGGGCTCGCCGCAAGGGGTGCGGCCCGAGACGTGTCCAGGGAAACCAAGATGTCTGTAAACTCGTTACCGGTGGCTCAAAGTAACCCCGAAGACCTCTTAATGAGAAACCGGCGGTGGTACTCTCGACTCGCGAAATTCGCCCCAGAATCTCGAGCATGCGAATCTCGGCCGGATCGCTGCCGACTTCGCTTTTTCACTTAGCAGCCCCGACGACTTCGCTCCTCGACGAATGCGCGAATAAAGCCGGCTTGCGCCGTTGAGCCGTGGCAATTTGTCCCCGAAATAAAGGCGTTCTGCGAAGGGCTGCAGAATTTCAGGGTGAATTCCCACGTCGAAGCACCTCCTCTAGTCGAGGGTCGCGGAGATGGCAGGGTTCGTTCAATTAGACTGGCGCATATTCGGAAGAGGGAAAAACGAAGCAGCGAGGGCTCGCGAAAATTATCACCTCCGCGAAAAAAACCGCATACATGTTGGAAAATGTGGCCATATTGGCCGCGACATAGTAGGCGACATTCGGCGTTTTGCGCCGTATTCACGCGGAGCCGTCCACGCGGCAGAATTCCGGCGCGTCCACAACCACCGAAAAAGCGTGCTCTTTAACGTGGAATAACGTCAGCTTTTTGCCCAACGCCGCCGTTAATTTCGCGGAACGCTATTAGAATACCGTCTCGCCTAGTCCCCCTTTTGTTCGAATTCAAATTAAACCTGAACGCGTCCGAATTCGCGAAAACGAAACCCCCCACCAGGACGGAATTTCGGGAAATTCGCAACAGCGTTCTATCGCGAATATCCCTCGATTCCCAATTTTTCCTTTTGCCTCCGGAGCTCCTGCGAGCCCGGATGACGAGGCGCGATATTTGTTCACACGGGCTGAAAATTGATTGGCGGAATTTGCCAAATGAGCAGGCGCGTGGCCGAGCATTCGGTAAATTACGAAATGCACGTCGCTCTCTATCCCTCTGTACACTCGGAATTTGCCCAGCACTCCGCAGCATCGCGCAGCAGGCGCTGGGAAGGACATACTCCAATGAGCCGCGATTAATTGTGAAAACTGCTTGACCGTTCTTAATCCCTCGTCGCGTCTTTCCACCCCTCGCCGAACGTTTTCCTGAAAAAGGACGAGATGGAGCATTATCAGCCTTTTAGCCATTGTCGCGAAATCCCTCAAACGCTTCGGCCCGATTCCCGATACGAGGAGAGCCTTCGGGAAGACAAAGCGATTAACGTCGTCAGCCGTAGAACGAGGTAGACGTCATTAAATCGCCCCATCGCAATGTCGGGACGATATTCCCGGTATGTCGACCCGGCTCGGGATATATAGAAAGGGAAACGGGCACCAGACCCACGGAATAGGGCATTCGTTACGAGCGTTGCCCGTGTCTTGGGGAAATTCATACTCGTGCGTCTAATAAATCGGAAAGGAACGCCGACCATAGCCGGGCCCGGCATTATTCCCGCAGACGGGTTTCGGGACGCGGAGAGGAATATAATATAATATCCGCGAATGCGGAAAAGAGACATCGCTCGGGAGGAATACCGCCGGATCGGGATTTATCGCCGGTATTATTGCGGATATATTTACCGCTCCACCCTTACGTGGTGCTCGGATTCTCGTGTACTCGTGTCTGCATTAAATTATTTTAATCCCACTTTTATTCCCCTTCCGCAGTCGGGGCATTATCGAACACGCGAATCCCAGAAAAGAGGCATCGTCCAAGGATTTCGCGGTCGGTTTATCGTCCGGCATTTCTGTGGATATATTTATTGGTACCTCCGCGGCATACATTCCCACGGCACATCATTGATAACCCCTCGACCCTGCAGTGGCTTTCCAACCGAATTTTTTCCCCCCAATTTCTGCCTGATTGCGCCCGCTTGGCATTACGTACCTCGCGCGATAATCCGCACTGTAAATATCCGACTCGGGCTGGCATCGTTATTCGATTTAATTCCTACGAATATTCGCCGTTTCGCCGATCGGCGTTTTTATTTCCTCTCCCCTTTTTCCGCGTCCAATCGTTCCCGGGGATCGACACGACACGCGCATCCTATATTCGCCGAGTCCGCCATTTTTGCGGTTCTCTTTGCAACTTTTGTGGACGGGAGATAGAGCCGCCCAAATACGTGCGATTCAATTTATTGGTAATCTACGGTCTCTTTATTATTTGCCGGAGTGTCGCGGATTTGGTATTCCGCCAAAGTTTGATCAACTCGCGAAGGAAATTATTAATCCCGCTGGCCGGAATCGGGGTGAATGCAGTTAGCGCAATTTTGCAAGTTCCTGACAAATTGAAGAAGAATTACCGCAGCCGTTTTCGTAGAGGTTGGGAGATGATCGTTTCTAGGATGATTATCGAGGGGTAAATAGATCCATCGAGATCTACGTCGATCGCCAAATGAATGAGACGTGGTCGTAACTCGTGGAACGTCCAGCAGGAAGAAACGGCATTGACAAATTTACCGGAAGCGGGAAATGATTGTCGTATTTTCCTCCGCCGAAATGTTATTCGGAGATTGTAGATATCGCGACTGCGAACACGCGAAAATCGTTTAACGAAAAACGAGGGGCGGGACCTCCTCCACCTGCCGTCCAACAAAGAGGTATATGCAAATCGATGCATTCTTCGAACTTAGAGCGCTTCTCGGCGGTTTTCCTATTTACATTAACTTTTTATTTCCCGATAACGCGCGCGACGGCATAAATTATAAACTTTCCCGGCTCGAGGTTCACGCCGCACCTCGTGGCGAAGGTGGTTGGTCGGTTATTGATTCGAGATTAAATGTCAAGTTACGAGGGCGCGCCTCTGAACGCGGATTTCACCGAGGTAGATTGAATTATCGCAAAGCGAGAAACACGAAGTCGAGATAGCTATTTACTTTGGAACTTAGTCGAGGCGTTCCGGGGAGGAATATTCACCGACTAATCGGTTAGCGATGGCGCCTGAATCGGAAATCAAATCGTCCGAAGACTTCTGACGGAGTCGAAAGTGGCGGAGAAAAGCGATACACCGAAAAGTTAGAAAATACATTCCAGAGAACGTCAGGATCCGCGGAGCGACTCGAGGTTGCCTGGACGTACTCGAAGAGCCGAGATGCAAGTGACGTTGCTGGTTTCCTTAAAAGTCAGGAAGACCAATATTTTATTCAGATAAAATATGAGACCATACGGTATTTCTCTCCTTTTTTAGTTAACCAAATGAACCCAATAGTTTGGAATTGTTTAGCTTTTTACTTTGGAACTTCAAACTTGTTCGAGGGGTTCCAGAGAGGAGTATTCGCCGATTAATTATTTCGCGATGGCGCTTGCACCGTAGATTAAAATCGGTTAAAAAAAGCGATGCACCTTAAAGTTAGAAAATAAATTCCTGTTGTTGTTGGTATTTGCGGAACGGCTGAGATGGTCAGGATGTACCCGAGGAGCGCCGGGGCTCGTGGAAATGCCGTCGCTGGCTTCCTCGAAGACCCAGGAAACAGGCTTTTCATTCGATTGGGACATGATCATATGGTATTTTTTAATCATTTTTTGCAAAAAAAAATTAAAAAACGAACGAAAAATCCACAGAAATTTACGTGTCAACCCAATGCCCAACGTGTCAACCCCAGCTTGGAACTATGTAGCTATTTTATTTAGAATGAAAAACTTATACGAGGGACTTTGGGAAGAAATATTCGACAACTAATCGCGATGGCGCCTACGTCGGAAATGAAAACGGGTAAAGAAAGAGCGACGTGGCGTAGAGTTGGAAAATAAATTCCTGGGACATTTGCGAAGCAACCGAGGTGTCCAGGAGGTACCTGAAGAGCGGCGGGGCTCGTGGAAATGATGTCGCTGGCTTCCTTGAGGGCCCGGGAGGCCAGGTTCTCCCCTTCCGCCGCAATCACTTTGGCCCTGGCCTCCCTCGCGGTTTCCGCTTCCGCGGCCATGGCCCGCTGCAGTTGCACCGGAAGTCGAACGTCCTTTCTAAATCAGAGAGCGGAGTCTCGCCAGGGGCGACCTGCCTCTCTTTCGAGATCTATTATCGGAAGCACGACCGCGTCGCCGGGTCAATTTGTCTCCGTGTTTCGCGCGGGAAGTTTGACCGAGCCGGAAGAATTCCTATTCGAAGCCTCCACCCTCGGGAGAGGGAATTTTCCGAGACCTCCCGCGACCCCCCGGCCCCTTTAGAACCTTTCCCGAGGTGTTCCGCCGAATCTCCCATCGGGTCGAAATTAAAGGACGAGCCGGGAAACACGGTTCTCGGCCTCAGAGTCGAAATTCGTTGCCGAGCTCCTCTTGCGGGAGATTACGGGCGTAACGAGCGCAAATTCCTCGCCGGGTCCGCGCGGAAAAAACGCGCGGATTCTTTTCCCTCGCGAGCGCTGAGAGAAGGAAAAAGAGAAGCTGTGTTTACTTCTTTCTCTTCCGACCCCACGGCCGGAAGGGATGAAAAAGGGCGGCCCGTTTGCCTTTTCGCCGCGCTAATCAAATCCCTTCCGAAAAAGCTCCCCTCTCACGGGATATATTTGTAAGCACCGGATGCCGGAGGGAATCCCGCGGAAATAGCTTTTGGTTTCTATTCGAGTTTCCGAAGCGCTCCCGGATATCGCGGAAGGTGCTCCGCTAGATACGGATGCCATGTTTATTTTAGATATTCAAAAAGGTATATTTACATCTCGACGCGCTCCACCTTCACGCCTCAAGGATCCGTGGCCTCGTTGAGGAAGGTTTGCATGTTGTGGGAGATCGTCTCCCTTTCGGCAAGAATTTCGGCGAGGCTTCTGGTCCCCAGAACCGTCCTTAGAGTAGTCTCGTTGAGTGGCTGCGAGTCGATAAACGGTATAGATTAAAAATCCGCCAGGATCCTTCAATTATCCATCGGCCCCGAAAAAGGGACTCGGATATCCAACGAAGTGCGCAGGCAAACGGTGGTCGACCAATCGCGATCAATTAAACAAGGCACAAAGCCGTGCTCGTAATGAGCTATCGCTATTTTCCAAGGGCGATTTTGCCGTTTAATTGGCGAGTTACGCGTCAAGTTAATTGATGGACGCCGTACTCGGGCGCAATTCCGGCGTGTCTGGTGCGGTTGTTGCTGTAATTGGCTATTTTGACGACGGTATTCAGGGGTCCCTTTATGCGGTAATAAACGACGGCGTCCACGCTGACGTTGACGGAATCTTTGGTGAGGACCTCCTGAGGAGGCACGTCAAAGGACACCGTCTCCTCAGGCCGACGAGGACGCAGTTGTCGATGCAGGGGATCACGGAGAACGTGCCTGCCAAGAAATGGGCCAGACTTCAGCGAAGCCCCGAAGAGCAAGTTGCTTTTGGGTAAATAATCATTCGGAGAATTGGTTACACCGAGGAGGTGCGACATGTGCCGGTGGGTTAATCGCTCGAAAAAGAGACTCATCGATCAGGTGCAAGAAGTAAGGAGCGTCGAGGTGGGTGGAGGTGGGCGGAGGTGGGCGAACCATAAACCAGGGAACCGGTGACACGGTGGCGGCCTTGCGAAGCGAAATTCCGGATGCGGCCTTAGGAACAATGGAAACGTCCCTTGAGTACCTGGACCGTGAGCACCACCGCGCAGTCGACCCGTCCTGAAAACGACCGCCCTCTCGTACTCTTGGGCGACCTTAAACACGAAGCAGAGGGAGAACGGAAGCGTGACCATCATCAGCAGGAACGAGTCGAGAGTCGCCAGGACCTCGAAGAGCCTCGTCGTGGCCTCGACTCTCCGCGGGGTCTGTCGCTCACCTATGAACCGGAAACGCACGACCATTGCTCATTGAGCGCTGATTGGTTATCGAGCGAATTTGCCCGGGGGAATGCTCCTGACACTTCGCGTCGTCGACTTTGATATACCGACCCGAGCTCGAGGACTCCTGGTTTCGGGGACTCCCCGAAGAGCGTACTCCCTCGTGTAGTGCCGAAGCGTACGAGCTTCGAGGCGCGATAAATTAATAATAAGTAGTAGATAAATAGTCGCGACTCGTGTAAGGAGCTAATAGGTGTTTCGGAATCCCTATCGGTTTATCGGGACACGCGATGGTTATTAACCCGTCCCCGGGAGTCTGTCCAGTCGCTCGTTAATTCGAATTAGAGAGGCGGCAAATCTCGCCGGCACCTGAGCACCGACTCGAATGGAACTTCGGCCGGAAGTTAATGGCCAACGTCGAGAATCGAGCTCTCCCTCTTTCTCTGCCCGCCGACTTTCTTTATTCCCCCGGAATCCCACTTTTCGAGCATCCCCTCCGAGCCGTTCGCTCCTTTTTCCTCTTGCCGCCAGCAGCTTCTTTCTCCCCCATCCCATCCTTATCTGCCCCTTCTTCTGCCCGGTCCATTTTCTTCTCTTTATCGTCCCGCCTTCTCCCGTCCCTCTTTTTCGACCTCGCTCCTCCTTTTCCTTCCTCTCTTCCTATGCTTTCCGCGCCCGTCTCCAGTTTTTCTCTCCGTACCCCTTTCGCCTACTTTCGCTCCTCCTCTCGCTCGCCCTTTCGTCTTTCCCTTTCGGCCTCCTTCTTCTCCCACCCACTTTCTTAGCTCGTATCGCTCACCGGGTGACGTCCCCTCGAGTAAAGCAGAAATCTCACTGAACTCGGCGAAGCACTCCAGCTCTCCACGGGCGGTCTTCGTGCATCCGTAGTGCACCATGTTACGCGTTTTGTCCCACTTCCCTCGACCTCGCTTAATGCTTCGATTTAGAGCGTAAATCAAATAATCTTCCTCCTGGAACGCCTTTTCGAGTTTTCGTCGACGCGACTCTAGACTGCGGTGGATAAAGCTATACTGGAACCCTGGAATATCTGTGAACTCCATCTTCCCAGTTTGTCTGCTTCCACCTCCTGCACCGTCAACGTCATCGACTTATCGGTGCATCGCTACCTCCGATGTTCTAGCTACCCCTTTTAGACCCGAATTTACGCCTTCATTTCCTTTGCACACGGGGGCATCCACTCAAAATTCGAAAGTAACAAAAATCGGAAAAAATCGATACAAGACCAGTAGGAAGATACTGAGTAATTCTACGTTGTACTGAAAATGTTCCACGTTGGACTGAAAACGTTAACAATTTTGCATCCAACCTTAACCTCGTAACCTCTGTTGTTCTAGCTACCTCTTTCTTGACACAGATTTACGCCTTCATTTCCTTTGCATACAGAGGCACCGACTTGAAATCGAATGTAACAAAAATCAGAAAAAATCAATACACGAGCACTAAGAAAATACTGAGTAATTCTACGTTGGACTGAAAATGTTCCACGTTGGACTGAAAACGTTAGCATTTTTAATCCACCCTTCTCCAGTCCTGGATGGATGGACAGGTTTTTTGAAAATACTAGCAATGTAGACCGTGCTGGCATTTTTTAATTTCGATATTATGGGCGCCTAGGTTGGAAGTTGGTGGTGGTATCGGTGGTACCAGTGATACCGGCGGTGATGGCGGTCCCAATGGCGCCACGAGGCCAACAGACTCATACCAAATTAACCGGCCTCGGTGGCCGAATGACGGCCCTGTTTATACACTGCGTGAGTAATTGCGCGTGAAGATCTACGGAAGCCAGAACTCGGTCTGGCCGAAACGACCGGCCAGAACCGTTTCACCACCAGGACGCATAGACCTCGTTACCTCGCAAAACCGGCGCCCCCGAGACCGAATGCAAAACGCCCGACAAAACGATTTTCCGCCGCATGTTCGAGTTAAACATCGATTTAGACAGACCCGTGCCGCGTCCGTGCACCGATGGAAACGTCGTACGCGCAGAAAAATATTTAATCAATTTAATAAATATTTGTCTTCGTCCAACAATCGAATGCGGTTACATGGAAAATCAGACACTTGGTTGACGCTGGAAAATTCTTTGACTAATAATTTTTGGTTGACGCTGGAAAATTCTTTGACTAATAATTTTTGGTTGACTAGGTCAAACACGATGGACCGAATATTAAAGTAGTTTGGTAGATCAATCAAGACATTAGATTAATTATAATATTTTCTCTATAATCTAGGAAATAATTTAACCAAATTGGTTGAGTGAAATAATAACAGGTCCAGTAAACTCAAATTCGGTTCACTTAATCAGAACGTTTCGTGAAATGAGTTAAATTTGGTCAAACGATTTCCTTCGATAAACCAAATTCTCTTCTGCGTGTAGATTTATATTGGGACGCTCGTAGACGATTCAGGCATCGAAATTAAACGTCAAGGATACGGTGGGAATATATTTGAATCGGCTTTAAACATGCAGGACCCATTTCCTGTCGACCAGCTTATAGGGCACGAATCCTGCTCCCAAGTACCATCCCTCTCTTCCATTTTTCCTATCCCTCCGTCCTCACCCTCGGCTATCGAAAGTTGGGAAGTTTCGCGCCATAAGAATTTAAGAATCCGTTTCCTGGGAGGTTTCACCGTTTGGGAGAGCCCCAGGAGGAGTTCCTCAGCTCCCTAATGCCGCGGTGCAGTCCAAGTGAAAAGTTGGCGGGGTAACATCGGGGTCCTCGGAGGTTTCCGTCCCTCCTGGTGTCTTTCCTCGCGGGGGGTCCGCCTCGTATATATGTATACCTGGGTGTATATAAATCCTCTCGTTAAATATGAAGGAGGTCCACCGGGATAAAGACGACGCCGGTCGACGGAAAGTTCAGCCGCGGAGTTAACGAGTTCGTTGTACGTCCAGAGGAAGGTGCGGAGCCATTTCGGCACGTCAGGAATTCTCGGCCCTTCTGCGGAGTCACGTCGGTCTGCCAGGAATTCCTCTGAACCCCGGACATCCGAACGAGGACATTTCTCCATGAAGAACGGATCCCGCTAATTTTCTATTATTATTCGCATACTTTTCCCCGCGCCTCCACCTGGGCTTAATCAACCGAATTCAGGCCGAACTTCCGCCACTTATTTCCGCAAGTTTCGCCAGCAATCAGACCTGGCCATTTGATCCTCCGACTTTCGCCCATTCGTTCCCTTCTTTCGACTTGCTCGACTACCTAAGACACACTGGATTGGGAGCACTTAGCAGTTTTAATAATTCAAGCCAAGAAGGAACATCTTTCCATCGGGATCCTTCGGGAACGCGAGGGCTGCTCCGCAGCGGAAACCGCAGGTCTCGAGCTAGGATTCGCCAATCAAGAGTTTCCGAGCTCTGAGGTGGAACCAGAATACCCTGTACATTTCCTAAGGACTACTAAGATTTGAATCCGCTCCAAAAGGAACGCGACACTTGATCATTGATTATTTAGGTTGCAAATTGAGAGAATTTCATCATTTTATTTGATTTCAGAATTTTCCGTTTGGGAGGCGATGTGAGGTCGAAATCGGAGGTACTCGATCTCAAGGCCCTTTTGAGAAGTACGATTGCCTTCTTCCCCGACATTACTAATTCTAACCTAGGTTAGGGTTCTCTCGGTGCAACAGGCTCGAGCCTCGAGCGAATGCAGATTTCGCGCGTAATTGTTCGCTCGACACAATCAGATCCGATTAGGTATGCCCGAGCTGACGACCTCGATGACGAGGTGCAACTCGAAGCCATCGGGCAATGTTTGCCTCTGCGTTCATTTCCTGATGAACCCAGGGGACCAGCAAAACGGCCCTCTGTGACCCTCGCAATTTCGTGTACAAGATGCATTCAATCGTGCTCTTCGACGGCACGAGATTTCAAAGACTCCACTTCTCGAAAATCTCATTTTCCTCCGATTTACCTGACAGCCACGTATCGGAATCATTGATATTAAATTGATTTCGTTGTCTCAATCCTGGGTAAAAATGACCCGCGTTAACCGAGTACTCGAGATAATTAATTATTGACAGGGCTCGATAGGAACGTCAGAGCGACTGACGTGAAATAACGAGAACATTAATGCACATGCAGCTCCTCCGAGCTCAGCGCGGCCATCAATCAATCTCCTGGAGTCCATTTATCCCGACAGCTTTAACTCTGTCCTTAATAATCGGTGGAAATCGGATTCCACCTGTCCATTCCTCGAGTGCGCACTCGACGAGCTATATTACCTTGTCTTGCACTGTTGCAACTTCAAGTTTTAGTGCCAATGTGCGAGGAAATAGAGAAAAAAGAGTGCGCTCGTCATTCTTCCCCTCGCTGTTCGAGGGGGTCGGAAAGGAGGCGAGGAAAACGTGGCTTTTGCGTCGAGGTCGCGGGTAGATGGGTTTGTATATACGTGTAGATACACGTATGAGTATATAGAGGCAGAAAATATTGCGTTTATTCCTATATCGGGGAGCGAACCCACGGAATGGCATAATCGAGCGTAAACTCGAACACGTTTTATATTCGCACCGATTCCCATGCAGTTTAACGACTCAATCTCCAGTGCTTTCTTGTTTTCGCGCCCGGCTACGTACATCGGCCGATATTTCCATTCGCATTCACCTCGGATCCTCGACTGGAATACTTACGAAGTACCCAACAGATTCGACTTGGAGGGAGCACACGCCCCTGTCCTGTTTCACGCGTGAAATATTCATCGCCCCTTCGTGTTCGACTTTACGAGGGCGGACATTCGGAGAGATTCCATTTTCCACGTGAGCCTGATCCCAAATAAATGTTCCCCTTGACGCATCTTCCGGGTGCGCTCTTCAGGGCTCCTGGAATGCGCGCAATTAAACCAACTCGAATGCCCCTGGACCTGACAATGCTTTGTCCACTCTCTGGTGAGAACTGCTTTGTCGCTGCTGCGGTGGAAAATTCGTTGCACCTAATTGGAACGTGCACTTTGAATTGTGATTATTCCAAATTCGAGAAATTATTTACTATCAGCCCGCAAAAATTAAGACCTGGTAATGCATTGCCCACTCTCTGGTGAGAACTGCTTTGTCGCTGCTGTGGTGCTAAATTCATTGCACCTAATTGGAAAGTGCACTTTGAATTGTGATTATTCCAAATTCGAGAAATTATTTACTATCAGCCCGCAAAAATTAAAACCTGGTAATGCTTTGCCCACTCTCTGGTGAGAACTGCTCTGTCGCTGCTGCGGTGCAAAATTCGCTGCACATAATTGGAACGTGCACTTTGAATTGTGATTAGTCTAAATTTGAGAAATTATTTACTATCAGCCCGCAAAAATTAAGCCCTGGAAAGGCTTTGCTCATTCTTTGGGAGAACTACTTTGTTGCTACCGCGTTACGAAATTCATTATATCAAATTTGAACTTGTATTTATAATTTTGCATGTTCGAAATTTGCGAAATTTCCGTTAATTAGCCCTCAAACATTGGGATCTGGAAATTCTTTGTCCACTTTCTGAAAGGGCTGCATTGTCGCTACCTCTTTACATAATTCATTGCATTAAATAGGAACGTGTACGTAGCGCATCAAATTGGATCATGCATTTTTTATTTCGAATCTTTGAAATTTGCGAAATTACTGTTAATTAGCCCTCAAACATTGGGATCTGGAAATTCTTTGTCCACTCTCTGAAAGGGAGGACAAAATTCATTGCATCAAATTGGAACGTGCACTTCTAATTTAAAAAATTCAAAATTTGCGAAATTTCTGTAAATTAGGCCCTCCAGAAAAGTCGCCTCCCCGAGGTGGATTGGGGAAAAAAAGAAAAAAGAGGGAGAGCAAGTCGATGTAACGACCCTGTGGGTGAACCCGAACTGCGATCACGTTGTTAACCCTTCCACCCCCGCATCCGGGTCAT